GAACAAAGCTGAATACCATAGATGTAAGTACCCACGAAGTATACACATACACACACACACACACACACACACACACAAAGGGAAAGCTAGGGAGAGATGGGTGTAGGGAGAATAAAGATTAGTTATGTAGCAGACTAAATTTATAACAATACAAAACACACAGATTTGACAAGCTGGATGCTGGTTAAAATTAGTTTATGGTACACATCATCCATCATTTGACAAATTTTAAATGCTGATCCACAGAACCTGGAAACTTCATTCATTCATTCATTCAAATTTATTGGCTGCCCATCTTACCACAGGGTAAATTCTTGGGGGCTTATTAAAAAGATAAAAATATGCAAAACCTATAAACACTACAAATAAAATATTATAAAAATAAAAATATATAAATACTCAACACTACTCAAATACTCAACCATACGCATATTATACAACATGGTAGTTGCAGTATGATAATACCAAGCTTACTATCCAAAAGCAGCAGGGAAGTGTAGAATTCTCCTTTGCGTGTGAAGTATTTATGCAGAACTGGAGAGATGGGCCTTGTACAACCGTTTCTGTAATAAAGCAAAATAGCAGAATAATGGAAGGGACCTTGGAGGTCTTCTAGTCTAACCCCTGCTTAGGCAAGAAACCTACACCACTTCAAACAAATGGTTGTCCAACATGTTTTTAAAAACTTCCAGTGTTGGAGCCTTTGCAATTTCTGGAGGCAAGTGGTTCCACTGATTAATTATTCTGTCAGGAAATTTCTCCTTAATTCTAAGTTGCTTCTCTCCTTGGTTAGTTTCCACCCATTGCTTCTTGCCCTGCCCTCAGGTGCTTTGGAGAATAGCTTGGCTCCCTCTTCTTTGTGGCAGCCCCTGAGATATTGGAACACTGCTATCATGTCTCCCCTAGTCCGTCTTTTCATTAAACTAAACATACCTGATTCCTGCAACCGTTCTTCATATGTTTTAGCCTCCAATCCTCTTCGTTCCTCTTCCCTGCACTCTTTCTAGACTCTCAACATCTTTTTTTACATTGTGGATGCGGTATTCCAAGTGTGGTCTTATCAAGGCATTATAAAAGCCACTGGGGAAGCACTTGCTGTGTTGTTTCTGGTTGTCGAGAGTCATGGGCGCATTGTATTATATAACATGAAATGTGTTACTGAAATGAACAAATCTTGAATTCTTTGGTGTGTTCTAAACTCAGCATCTTGGCAGTGCTATTATCCACTAGCCCTCATATGTAACAGGAGGCACAGTCAAGGGAAGGAAATCACAGCAGGAGCTGCTAATAAATTTGAAGATACTATGCTCAAAAGCCAGAACCCCTTTTTTGTCTATATTACAATAGCATTTGCATATCATATCCAACCACCTTTACATATGAAATTTTCGTGCTCTTCTCACTGTCCCAGACCTCCCTCATATGTTCTCTGTGTTTCACTGTTCACAAAATGAACACTGAATTCACTGTTCTCCTTGCACTCAATTTTTGTGCATGTTAGGAAAAGATGAACTCTGAATCCTCTTTACCTCTCCTCTCCCATTACCTCATCTGAGGAGCCACAATCGCTAAGTGCTCCTATCTTTTTCATACGGAGGGAGAACAAATCAAGGAGGGAAACAGAACTTAGAACTAAGGAGGAATTTCCTGACACAGAACAATTAACCAGTGGAACAGCTTGCCTTCAGAAGTTCTGGGTGCTTCATCAATGGAGGCTTTTAAGAAGAGACTGGGCAGTTACTTATCTGGAATGGTATAGGGCAGTGGTGGCTAACCTTTTTGGGCTCCTGTGCTAAAAATTGTGTGCGCGGTTGTGCGCACGCGCTGTGCCAGCACCCAGGAGGCAATGTGCGCCCTCCCATCCCCTGCACATGCATGTGCAATCCCCCCCTGCCACCCCCTTACCTGCACTGCACCTGCCAGCTGATTTTCGGCCTGTTTGAGGCCTTTTTCGGCCTCCCAGAGGCTTGAGGACAGCTTCTGCAGCCTTTGCAGGCCAAAAAAATAGGACCGGTATTACAGGAAGTGACAAAACGGGCCTATTTTTCGGCCTGCAAAAGCTGTCCTCAAGCCTCTGGGAGGCCGAAAAAGGCCTCAAACAGGCAGAAAATCAGCTGTTGAGGCACGCGCATGCGCAGTGAGGTAAGTTTGCCTCTGGCTCACATGCCAGTACAAATGGCTTTGCGTGTCACCTGTGGCATGAGTGCTATAGGTTCGTCATTATGGGTATAGGGTCTCCTGCTTGAGCAGGGGGTTGGACTAGAAGACCTCCAAGATCCTTTCCAACATTATTCTGTAATGTATTTTTCATGATCTGTAGCAGATTTTTGGAGCCTCGGAGAAACTTTATGACTCGCACATTTTTTAAAAAAACCCTGCTGGCTGAGGAATTATTGGCCACAAAATGAGGACACATTTATAGAAGGCTGAAATTCTGCCTGGGCATTTCTATGATGTATGATTATCAATATGCAAAAAAAAAAAGACTTTTTTGCAAAATTGCGCTATTTCTGTATCAGTGAATATCCAATAATTCCTGCTGATAGTCAGCTATGGGAAATCAGCCTTTAGCAAACTAACGGTTTTCTTTTCTTTTTTCCCTCATCTCTAATACTGAAGCACATTTGAACAAGACCAGAAATTAAATACTTAATTTCTCAGCCATACTTTTAAAGGCAGCTTAGAAATGAAATTCAGGCCTTCCCTACAGCCATTACCTTCTTCTTCATATGGATTTTCTTGTGTGCAGTAAGGGAAGAATTTTGTGTGAAGCACCGTCCACACTCTGGACATTTGAAAGGTTTCTCCCCAATGTGTAAACTGACATGATTTATAAGTTTAGACCTAGTACTAAAACCTTTCCCACAATCCGGACACTCATATGGTTTCTCCCCTGTGTGAGTCCTCTGATGTATCACCAGTTCAGAATTCCGACTGAAACTTTTCCCACAATTAGGACATTCATATGGTTTCTCCCCAGTGTGAGTCCTCTGGTGTATCACTAGGGTATAATTCTGACTGAAACCTTTCCCACAATCCAGGCATTCATACGGTTTTTCCCCTGTGTGAATCCTTCGATGTATAACCAGCTCAGAATTTCGAGTGAAGTTTTTCCCACATTCCAGACACTTGTATGGTTTCTCCCCCGTGTGAGTCCTCTGATGTATCACCAGGTGAGAATTCCGACGGAAGCATTTCCCACAATCCAGACACTCATATGGCTTTTCCCCAGTGTGAGTCCTCTGGTGTATTACCAGATCATAATTCTGTCTGAAACTTTTCCCACAATTTGGACACTCATATGGTTTCTCTCCTGTGTGTGTTCTCTGGTGTATCACCAGGTGGGAATTCCGACTGAAACTTTTCCCACAATCTGGACAGTCATATGGTTTCTCCCCGGTATGAATCCTCTGGTGTATCACCAGGTGGGAATTCCGACTGAAACTTTTCCCACAATCTGGACATTCATACGGTTTCTCCCCGGTATGAATCCTCTGGTGTATCACCAGGTGGGAATTGTGACTGAAGGTTTTCCCACATTCCTGACACTCATACAGTTTCCCTCTTTTGTGTCTCCTCTGATGTACAATGAGGCTGGAATTTTGAATGAAATGCTTCTCACAATCTGGACTCTTATATGGTGCCTCCCGAGTGTGAGACCTCTGGTGTTTCACCAATTGGGAATCCCGAGTGAAACTTTTCCCACAATCTGGACACTCGTACAGTTTTTCTTCAGCGTGAATCCTTTGGTGTATCACGACGTTAGAATTCTGACTGAATTTTTGCTTACAATCTGGACCCTCATGTGGTTTATCCTCAGTGTGAGACATCTGGTGGATCTCCAAGGGGCAATTCTGACTGACTATTTTACCACACTCCTGACCCTCACATGGTTTCTCTCCTATGTGTGTTCTTTGAGATAACACCAGATCAGAATTGTAACTGAAACTTTTCCCAGAATTGGGACTTTCATAGAGTTTCTCCCCATTGTGAGTCCTCTTGTGTATCACTAGGTTTGAACTGTGACTGAAACTTTTTTCACATTTGGGGCACTTATATGGTTTCTCTCCTGTGTGAGTTCTCTGATGTACCACCAGGTCAGAATTGTGACTGAAACTTTTCCCACAATCTGGGCACTCATATGGTTTCTCCCCAGTGTGTGTCCTGTGGTGTATAATCAGGTGAGAATTCTGACTGAAACTTTTTCCACAATCCAAACATTTATATGGTTTTTCCCCAGTGTGAATTCTTTGGTGTATCACCAGGGCATAATTCTGACTGAAACTTTTCCCACAATCCAGACACTCATATGGTTTCTCCCCAGTGTGAATCCTCTTGTGTATCACCAGGTTGGAACTGTGACTGAAACCTTTACCACAGTCTGTACACTCATAAGGTTTCTCTCCTGTGTGTGTCCTCTGATGTACCACCAGGTCGGAATTGTGACTGAAACTTTTCCCACAATCTGGGCACTCATATGGCTTCTCCCCAGTGTGAGTCCTCTGGTGGCTCACCAGATGGGAATTCTGACTGAACCTTTTCCCACAATACAGACATTCATATGGTTTCTCCCCTGTGTGGGTCCTCTTGTGTATCTTTAGGGTGGCCTGCTTCCTGAAGCTTTTGCCACAGTGATGGCACTGGGCGGACTTTTCTCCAGTTTGGATCCTCTCGTGCATAATCAGGAATGATCTGAAATTTTTGTTAGGGATATTTCCATCACTTACATTTTTGGATTCCCAAGGTCCGAAATATTTTTGATCCCTTCTTTGATTCTTTCTTCCTTCAAATGATGAGGCTTACATGACTTTCTGTCCTATGCGCCTATCCAAGTGACCCCTTCCATTCCGGATTTCCAGATTATTTGGAATTTGGAAATGATCTTGACCTTGACCTTTTCATGGAGTGTTTCGGTGAGTTCCACAGACTCAGTTATTTCCAGCTCAAAATTCTCTTTCTCTTGTTCTCTCTTTTGTCTCTCACCTGCCTTGGGAAGGAGAATAATTTTGTGGTTTTCTGGAGGAAGCCGAAAAAACTCTGGCTGAATTTTTTTTTCCTTTTTAATGTTGCTTCAGATTCTCATTTGCCCAGAATGGTCTTCTGGACATCCTCTTCATCTAAAAGATTCACATAAAGTGGTGAGTTTAATTATTGTACATAAAAAGGCTGCACAAGATGTGAAAACAGCAAGGAAAAAAAAATCCTACATTACAATGAAAAAACAAATGCCAAAATCAAAAGTTAACCCTCTAACATTTATTTGACACATAGAAAACTAGTGAGAACCAAGTTCAAATATCCACAGAAGCATGAAATTCTCTTCTGGTTTTGCATAATTCAGAAATCCTTGGCATTGCAATCTGTTGTTATCACAAGTTTCCAAATTCTGACGAAAGCTTATCATCAGGGGTCGGGAAACTACCGAGCTTTTATGACTTTCAACTCCCAGAACTTTGGCTCTGTTATGACTTCAACTTCTAGAATTCCTGAGCCAACCATACTGGCTCAGGAATTCTGGAAGCTGAAGTCCACAAGACATAAGACACAAGATCAGATATTACTATATGCATAGAGAGAGATAAACAGACATACACAGATCTACAAATGCGGGTAAGTTGGAAATCGAGTTCAGCCTGAAAATTGTCCCAGAAGGGGGTATTTTTGATGCAATTTATAGAGAAGGGAGGCTTGAAGAAATGAAATCATGCCCAATGTGTCTGGAAAATTTAAAGCAGCAGTTTTGTCCACGAAATGCCTCAGTTTCCAAGAAAACAAGATGTACATAAAAATCACAAGGAGTGAACCCTAACATGAAGACTTTTTAAATTTCAACAACCAGCCGAAAATGGAAGGTTTTAAAGTTTTAAATTTGCAGCACTAGGACTAAAGTGTTTGACACTAGGGGTGTCAAACTCAAGGCCTGCAGACCGGATCCAGCCCTTGGGGTGCATAGATTTGGCCCGCAGACCCGCCCTGGAAACAGCAAAATTTTTCCTTTGCAACTGAGAGAAACATGATGAGCAAAGTCTATGGAGATTCCCAGTCATCCAGGTCATGGTTGTCCCAAATGTGCTTTTTTTTCCCCCAAGAGGCAACTGGACTTTCTGGTTTTTCTTTGAAAGATGTTTCGCTCAGTGGTGGGATTCAAAAAATTTTACGATTGGTTCTGTGGGTGTGGCTTGGTGGGCGTGGCATGGCTTGGTGGGCGTGGCAGGGGAAGGATACTGTAAAATCTCCATTCCCACCCCACTCCTGGTGGAAGGATACTGCAAAATCCCCATTCCCTCCCCATCCCACTAACCTGCTTTCCAGCTCCATTCTCCTGTGCAGGGCAACAAAAAGGAAAACCCAGCCAATCAGCTGGGACTCGGAAGGCAGAGAATAGATGGGGGCGGGGCCAGTCAGAGGTAGTATTGGCCGGTTCTCCAAACGACTCATTTCCGCTACCGGTACTGAACTGGTCAGAACCTGCTGAATACCATCTCTGGTTTCGCTTCTCATCCAAGAAGCTTATTCAGCTCATCCAGAAGAAGAAGCTTCTTGGACGAGAAGTGAAACGTCTTCAAAGAAAAACAAGGAAGTCCAGTTGCCCCTTGCGGGGTGGGAAGCATCTTTGGGATGAAGAGTGAAGGTTGGCACTACTTAGCTTCACAAGGTTAGCCAAGTGCTGGGCCCTAAGGGTTCATGAAGTTCTTTTGGCTGCAGCCCCTTAAGTGATTGCCAGCTTCATCCTATTAACAGAATAATGAAACATGGGACAAACCTAGAAGTGTCCACTGGCTTTACCTCCGAACCACATTTAGATAGGAGGTACGTAATGGTCTTCCTATCTCTGTTATCAGGGACTCTAAATCTCACCAGTGAACAGAATTGCTCTAAACAGCCTTCCCAATCTCCAGAGATTGGGATTTCAGCCTTATTATTTCCATGCAACCTGAGCAAAAAACTTGGAGGAAACTTTCTTTTGCAGAAAGCTGATCTAAAGATTCTTGTCCTTTTGCAGGGATCCTTTTGCAGCCCAGATCAAAACCTCTCTAAATTTTAAAATGTCATGAATGATGGCTTCCTGTGGCTTCCAAGGATTCATTCCTTCTGGCCAGGATTGCCTCCAAGCGCACCCTGTGTCTTGAAGCTGTAAACAGCCTAATCAAGGAACCAACAAGAACATCTTCACATCGCTCTCTTCTAGCACTGATGATGTTACCTAGTTGGGTAATGAAACATCTGCAAGAAAACAACCAACCCAGAGCTTCAAATATTCTCTTCTATTTCTCTTTTTGCATATATCACAGAACACACTTTATCTCTTTTGGAAGGCCATTGGTAAAAACAGCGGAAAGCTGCTTTTCCATTCAAAATCCCCTCAACCAGGTGCAGAAATAACATGACCTTGACTTAGAAAAAGAATGCTATTATGTCTAACCACATACGCTCCAAGAAATTCCCCCCCTCCCATTTTCCCAGGCTCAAGAACGTGGCAGCGTGGAAGCTATGTCGGGTGCTAATGTGGCTTCCAAAGCTGACGATTATACAGCTCAAGGAAGAGTTCAAACTAAAATTGAAAACTTCCACGGGCTGCTGAATTTCAGTGAGGTTGGCCTATATAAACTAGGAAGCAGCCCACAGCAGTCAACCTGAGCAGGTAAGAGAGAGACAAGATTCAAGGAGTGCATCTCAAAACAAGCGGACATGGACAAGGCTGCTCATTGGCCAAGCCTGGGATGCCTCTCAGCTCTCTTATCACCTGCTTGAAGGTACATCACTGGCCTCCTCCTAGCACACATCACCCAATCTGAGGGGAACCCCTTCAGTCTCCAGACTGGGCTGGGAACTAGAGCTAGAAGCTTGGCACACTGACACATTATCAATAGAAAGGTAAACAGCAAGAACATCTATAGACTAATATCAAAGAGACAATCAACCAGGCCAAAGGGGAACAAAAAGACTCCAGCAATCAGCATAGATTAACTCCCAAGATTAACAATAACCAAGAAAAGGATACCTTAATACAGAAAGTGCCAAAGAGCTAACAGTAAACTGCCCAACCAATGAACCTCCAAGATGGCCCCCCACCAACACTTACAGGGAAGCCATCAGAATACAAACTGACAGTAAACCGTACTCCCTACTAGCACTGATGATGTTACCTAGTCGGGTAATGAAACGTCCCCAAGCAAGTTCAGAGAACACTATAACTACTGATCTCTCTGAGTCCTCTTGCTCCCCTCCAGACACTGGGATGCTGATCCTCCCCAGCAGCGATAGGGGAACATGGGCACAGTAGTCCCCAACGTTCGGGGGCGGGGGGGAGGAACCAGGAGGCCATACGCTGGCAGCTGGGCTGCACCAAGATGTTGAGGTGCGGAAGGAGGAGGAGGGTTTGGAGGAAGGATTTTAAGGGGACCGGAGAGCCGATCGGCGCAGCAGCGTGCGTGGAGCAGAAAACCTTGCAAGCAAAAACCGGGGACTCCGAAGGGGAGAGGCCGCAGCACCTCTTTGCTCCCTCCCCCAAGGAATCCCCCCTTCCCTCACCTGGGGATTCCCCCTCCTCCTCCTCCACCTGATTGAGTCCCCTCCCTCGCAGCGTCCTTGCTTGCTCACCTGTTTCCGCAATCCGGGCGTAGCAGACGGCTGGAGACCAAGAAGGGCGTGTGGGGGGGGGGGGGCGCGGGGGGGGCAGGAAACTGGGACCACCCCTTTCTCTCCTTTCCTGCCTCCTCTCTAGGCGCAAAGGAAGAAGCTTTCTGCGTTTAACCCCTTCCCTGAAACTCGGGCGGGGAGGGGGCGAGACCGAGCAATGCCAAAATCCCCCGGCCCTGCCACAAAGGATCGCTCGCGTCACCCAGAAGGAAAAGCCGAAGGCTCAAAGCAGGCGCCGAGGCTGAAAGAGAAAATTGCATGTGCTCATAAAGGCATCTACTGGGGGGGGAATTAGGAATTCAGCGCTATTTAATATAGAATGGGATAGGGATAGGGGATGGAATAGAATAGAAAATAGAATATGAATTAGAATTAGAATAGGTATAGATATATTTGTATATATTTTAATATGTTAATTTCCAATAGTTTTTTTAAATTAAAAAGGGAATTAGAATAAGAATGAATAGAATAAAATAGGAATGAATAGAATAGGAATAGAATAGAACAGGAATAAATAGAAGAGAAAGAGAACAACAGGATAGAACAGAACAAGAATAGGAATGAATAGAATAAAAATTAGAATAGAATAGATGAGCCTGTCCCACAGATGTGGTAGGACTTACAACACCCATCACTTTTCAGCCCTGGCATTATTGGCTGGAATGCTGGGATTTGCTTAATATGTATGCAGTATGTCAGGAGGAGTCTGGGAGCAGCTTTTCTGTCTTAGAAAGAGGAAATGATAAACTTTCCAAAGAAACATTTTGCGCGGCTGTAAGTGACAATATTATGGATAGGCACACAAGTGTCCAAAATGCCACCATCATGGTCTGACACAATTCTTTTTCTGAAAGTAAAAAAAAATATTAATGTAGTAAAATGTACGCAAAACAAGCAAAAAAAAAAAGGAACAGAGAAGCAGAAATGGAATTGGAAAAAGAAAAAAAAACATACAATTTTATCTTCTGCTCTTCTGTCAAGTAATTGTCCGCATACATTTCTATTTGGGAATCCTCTCTGACCAGAATAAAACACTTATTGGAAACCGATCCTGGCCTGAATGAAGTTCATTCCTCAGAGAAATCCAGACCAACTTTTTCCTTCCATTCACTCAACATCGTCTTATTTGTAAGAGTGGAGTTTATAGGTTCTGAAATTTCTGAAGATTTACACACACGTTAAAAGATTAAATCTTTATTGAAAATGAAAGTTATAAACATGAAAAGGACAATTCAGAACAATTCCGTGACTGAGGCCAGACATGGAACACTGATTTGTTAGCATCGCTTTATACTGCTTTGGCAAGACCATACTTGGAATAGGTGTCCAGTTTTCGTCCCATAATACAAAAAAGATATTGAGACTCCAGAAAGAATGCAGAGATGAGTTAACAAAACCGATGAGGGCACTGGAAGCTAAAACATGATGAACGGTCGCAGGAACTGGGTGTCTCTAATGAACAAAAGGACTGGGGGGGACGACATTATAGCAGTCTTCCAATATTCAAGAGGCTATCACGAAGAGCGGGGTCAACAAGTAGTAATGGATGGAAATATCCATGGAGCTTCTCAGTCATCCAGGTCATGGTTGTCCCAAAGGTGTTTTTATTTCAGGAGGCAACTGGACTTTCCGGTTTTTCTTTAAAGACGTTTCACTTCTCATCCCTTCATTCAGAGCTGAAGAAACTTCTTGGATGAGAAACGAAAGGTCTTCAAAGAAAAACCAGAAAGTCCAGTTGCCTTTTGAAAAAAAAAAAAAAGCCTTTGGAATAACAGATGGAAACTTAACAAGGAGAGATCCAACTGGCGGGGGGGGAGAGCAATTTCCTGATATCAAGAACAATTAATCAATGGAACGGCTTGTCTCCAGAAACTGTGGGCGCTCCATCACTGGAGGTTTTTAAGAGGCGATTGGACAGCTATTTGTCTGGGATGATGTAGTGCCGTGATGGCGAACCTATGGCACGCGTGCCACAGGTGGCACATACAGCCATTTGTGCAGGCACATGAGCCCCAGGCAAACTTACCTCACTGCGCATGTGCGCGCCTCCCAGCTGATTTTCAGCCCGTTTGAGGCCTTTTTCGGCTTCCCAGAGGCTCTGCAGCCTTTGGAGGCCGAAAAACAGGCCCGTTTTCATCACTTCCTGTATTTCCAGAAATACTGGAAGTAATGAAACGGGCCCGTTTTTCGGCCTCCAAAGGCTGCAGAGGCTTCCTTCGAGCATCTGGGAGGCCAAAAAAAGGCCTCAAACTGGCCGAAAGATCAGCTGGGAGGCGCATGCATGCACAGTGCCGGTAAGGGGGTGGGGGGATCGTGCGTGCATGTGCAGGGGGCATGGGGGGTGCGCCCACTGCCTTCTGGGTGCTGCCATGTGAGCACAATTTTTGGCACAGGAGACCAAAAAGGTTAGCCATCGCTGATGTAGTGTCTCCTTCTTGAGCAAGAGGTTGGACTACACTTCCAAAGTCCCTTACAACTCTTAATTGTTAATTTGGAGAAAAACTGAAAATTGGAAAGGGGAGAATGCAGTGCAGCAATGAGAAGCAAAATTGGCTGGATAAAAGCCTAAACAATAACATTCCACAGAATATTTTATTCCAGTAACTCAAGCCAGTTTTGGAGCCCAACAAACCTGGCTGTTGTGCACCCGTCTCCGTTCCCCCCCAAATTCATTGCATGCCATTATATTAGATCTCCCAAGCCTGTCATTTGATCTGAATTTTGGGGTGGGGTGGGGGTCCTTGGTTGTTTCCTTGCAAATGTTTCATTATCCAACTTGTTAGTTCATCATCAGTGCTACAACAAGGGAGTATGGCTTGCTCTGTTTGTATGCCTTTTGTCCTGTCAGTGTTGGTGTTAACAGTATGATCAGTAAACAGCAGCCTAATCTAGGAATTACAAAGATCTCTCTCACCACCAGTTAACTTGTTAGTGGTAGGTTTGCAGCACAGGGCATCCAACATCTGAGAAATTTTAATACTTGGCAACATTATATGCTGTATAGCAGGGTCACTAGCTGAAAGCAACATGGAGGTGTAGAATTGCCCTGAGTATTTATGTAATAATGGTGAGATGAGACTACTGGTAGTACAAACCTCCCTGCAATAAAATGCACTAGAGAAGCATACGCTATTTTATTTTTGTGCGTCCTGAGTCAGTGGGATATTGCATTATAGTCAGTGGTGGGATTCAATTTTTTTAAACTATCGGTTCTGTGGGCGTGGTTTGGTGGGCGTGGTGTGGTTTAGTGGGTGTGGCAGGGGAAGGATACTGCAAAATCCCCATTCCCTCCCCAGCCCACTAACCTGCTTTCCAGCTCCGTTCTCCTGTGCAGGGCAACCAAAGAAGACCCAGCCGATCAGCTGGGACTCGGGAGGCAGAGAAGAGGTGGGGGTGGGGCCAGTCAGAGGCGGTATTGGCTGGTTCTCTGAACTACTCAAAATTTCCGCTACTGGTTCTCCAGAACTGGTCAGAACCCGCTGAATACCACCTCTCATTATAGTCTGCCCTCTGAGCTGCATTACTAAAAGAACAAACCTTGAAATCTTTGGTGTCGTCTCAGGAAAATCAGAATCATCCATCTGTGTAGCTAATACCACTCAGCCGTGCCAAATAATTTTCCTCTCTTTACTAAAAGTCTGTAGAGATTCTCAGTCATCCAGGTCATGGTTGTCCCAAAGGTGCTTTTTTCAGAAGGCAACTGGACATTGTTTTTTCTTTTGAAAACATTTTGCTCCTCATCCAAGAAGCTTCTTCAGCTCTGACAGGATAGTGGGGAACGGAAGGATTTATATTCCTTGCAGGCAGCTGGTCATCTGCATTCTTTTAGCGAGTCATTAAGGTCACCTGGAGGTTTATCTGTGTCCTCAGGGTCACCTGAGTATGTGAAAAGCACCTTTGGGATAACCATGACCTAGATGACTGGAGAATATCTACAGACTTTTAGCTATACAATTTGGGGTGAACACCAGTGGTGGGATTCAACCAGTGTTACTACCGGTTTGGTGACTATGTTTTGCTCGAGCAGGACTTTATAACATTTCAGAGAAATGGCTGTCCAGCCTGTTTTTGAAAGCCTCCAGTGATGGGGGCACCAACAATGCTAAATGCCATCTTCTTCTGTAAATTCCCTTGCAGAAAAAACTTCTCTAGGTCAAAGTGAGAGACATAATAGCAGAGAGTAGAAAGAGGGTTTAGAAAGAGGGTGGGATGGTTAAATTTGGCCAAAGAAACTAATAAACTTTTCAAATAAACATTTAAAATGGTTATAAAAAAAAGGTAGTGCTAGAATTAGGGTTAGTTCTTACTTTCCATTCTCTCTGGTCTTGTTTGTTTAGATAACTTTCTGCAAAGAATTCATATGCAATATGATCTTACTGGAGACAAAAAGGTGACAAAAAGGTAACCTGGTGAAATCAAATCAAATATTTATTATGCCGAAAGACCAGCATAAAGATTGTGGGCTACATTTAATTTAAAAATATTAATCTATATAATTGTTAAAATAAAGATTATATAAAATTAAAAGAGAATGCATATATAAAAAACAAGCTTAAATGGAATCTAAAAGGAGGACTAAGGACACAAAATGGGATCAAGGGAGCTTATGTGGCAGATTAAATCTATCGCTGCCCAAAATTTAGCATGACAAGCTGGATGCTTATTAAGACTAATTTATGGCCACAAAAAGCAGCTTCGGGACAAGCTTCCCAAATCTTCCCCTTTCTTAATGTCCCCCGTCCCTCAAAAAGCCACAATTCTGACTGCAGCAGTCTAGCCTTTAAACCGGGAGTCCCCAAACTTGGCAATTTTAAGATTTGTGGACTTCAACTCCCAGAATTCTCCAGCCAGCATATTCTGGGAGTTGGAAGTCCACAACTCAAAGTTGCCAAGTTTGGAGACCTCTGCTTTAAACCCTAGCTGGACTTTACAGGCAGTCTGACAGACAGCTTAAGCTTGCAAGGACCCAGCATCCTCCATTTTCTAGCACAACTTTTAAAGGTTTACTGTTTGCCCATCCTTCCCCGTTTTTTCCCCTTTTATTTTTCTACTGAATACATTTGTTTTGAGAGAGAGAGATAGGAGGGGAGGGCATTAAGAAAGGGAAAGGTTTGGGAAGGTTGTCCTGAAGCTGCTCTTTCAGCAAGGGCCCTCTTCCCAAAGCCTAGAGAGGTAGAGGAGCTTTGCAAACATCCCCAGCTAATGGTCTGAGAGCTGATTAGTGAAAAAAGCCCCCCCAAAATTGAGGAACTGGTCCTTTGTTTGCCCCAGGGCACGTTGGGAGCAAGAAGGTCAGAGGCAGAATTAGGAAAGGCAGGCACACCAATTCCTTTCCCACCGATTCTCGCTGGCAGGACAGTTGGGCCACTGGATGAGTATCTTGGAGTGGGGAAGGCCTGAGGCAGGTCGGTTGACGCTTCTATTAGGCCTCCCTAGATCTCCTGCACCTCTGACGACAGACCAGAAATGAAATTCAAGACTTTTCCAGACTCATCACTTGTTGTCTCATGTGGATTTTCTTGTGTGCGGTAAGAGAGGAATTTTGTGTGAAGCTACGTCCGCACTCCGGGCATTTGAAAGGTTTCTCCCCAATGTGTAAAGCTACATGAACTACAAGTTTAGACTTAGTAGCGAAACCTTTCCCACAATCAGGACACTCATATGGTTTCTCTCCTGTGTGAGTTCTTTGGTGTATCACCAAGTGGGAATTCCGACTGAAAGTTTTCCCGCACTCCTGACACTCATATGGTTTCTCTCCTGTATGAGACCTCTGATGTATCAGCAGGTGAGAATTACGACTAAAAGTCTTCCCACACTCCTGGCACTCATATGGTTTCTCACCTGTGTGAATACTCTGATGCACCACCAGGTGGGAATTGTTACTGAAACTTTTCCCACAATCTGGACACTCAAATGGTTTCTCTCCTGTGTGTCGCCTCTGGTGGTATACCAAAAGGCAATTCTGACTGAAACTTTCCCCACAATCCTGGCACTCATATGGTTTCTTCTCAGAGTGAGTCCTCTGATGGACCACCAGATGGGAATTAAGACGGAAACTTTTCCCACAATCCACACATTTGTACGGTTTCTCTCCTGTGTGAGTTCTTTGGTGTATCACCAAGGAGTAATTCCGAATGAAACTTTTCCCACAATATAGACATTCATATGGTTTCTCCCCTGTGTGAGTTCTCTCATGTATAACCAGGTAACAACTCTGACTGAAAGTTTTCCCACAATCTGGACACTCATAAGGTTTCTCCCCAGTGTGAGTCCTCCTGTGTGACACCAGGCTGGAACTCTGACTGAAACTTTTCCCGCAGTCTGGACATTCATATGGTTTCTCTCCTGTGTGTGTCCTCTGGTGTCTCACCAGTTCAGAACTGTGAATGAAACTTTTCCCACAATCAGGACATTCATACGGTTTCTCCCCAGTGTGAGTCCTGTGGTGTATCACCAGGTAGGAATTCCGACTGAAACTTTTCCCACAATCTGGACACTCATTTGATTTCTCCCCAGTGTGAATCCTCTGGTGGGCTGCCAGGTTGGAACTGTAACTGAAACGTTTCCCACAATATGGACATTCATACGGTTTCTCTCCTGTGTGTGTCCTCTGGTGTACCACCAGATGGGATTTCTGACTGAAACTTTTCCTACAGTCCAAACATTCATATAGATTCTCTCCTGTGTGTGTCCTCCGGTGAATTACTAGTTGGGAATTCCGACTGAAACTTTTTCCACAATCCATACACTGATGTGGTTTCTCCCCCGTGTGAGTTCTTTTGTGCGACACCAGGTGTGAATTAGTACGGAATCTTTTCCCACAATCTGGGCACTCATAAGGTTTTTCCCCTGTGTGAGTCCTCTGGTGTTTCACCAGGTGGGAATTGTAAGTAAAATGTTTCCCACAATCCATACACTCGTATGGTTTCCCACCTGTGTGTGTCTTGTGGTGTATCAGTAAGGGTGTGTCTTTGCGAAAACTCTTATCACATTGAGAGCACTGGTATGGGTTCCCATCATTGTAGGTCCTGTTACCATCGAAAGGATGAGAGCTGTAGTAAAATACTTTCCCACACTCAGAACATTCATTCAGGTTTTCTCCGGTGTGTATCCCTTCAGGCATAATCAGTTGTGATCTGCAATCTATGCTTTTCTCATGATATGTAGATTTGCAGGGCTTTTCCATCACTAATATTCCTGGATTTTGAAGGTCAAAAATACTTTGAATCTTTTCCTGCATGGTGCTTTGATTCAAACTACTCTTTTGTTCTTCACAGGGCAAAGCTTGCATGACTGCCTGCCCTATGGGGCTGTCTGTGTGACAGCTTCCTGCCCACTGATTTCCAGATAGTTCCATTTTTTTTCTTCTGAATTTGGATATGATTACTCACTCCCCCTTTTGACCTTTTTGTGGAGTGCTTTGTTGAGTTTTATTTTTTCCTGGTGAAGAAGGTTACAAATTTTGATTGCTGGATGGATTTCCTTTCCTTGTTAATGCTCTTTGTGATTCTCACTTGTCCAGAATGTTGTTCTTGGCATCCTCTTCATCTAAAAGGTTCATAAAAAAAAAGAGTTAATGTAATGATTGTACATGAAATTGGTGCATGACAAATGAAAACCCCAAGGAAAAATAGCATACATTACAATCAGAAAGCACTCTAGGAATCCCTGGGTTTGTCCTTTGTACAATCTGTAAGAAGATTGTGGAAGTAATTTTTCCCACTGATTGGAGAGTGGCCAACTGAGAGGCAAAGGAATCTGTGAGGCAATTAACTTAGACTTCCTCATTTCTTAAACAGTTGTTTGGGAGGGGGTTTTTTTGGGTACTCCTTTGTTATTTAAGAGAGGCTCTCTTTTGATCTGAGCTTTTTTTTTTTCTTGGAGATTTTAATACTTCTGGACTTGAATTTGCCACAAGGCTGGCTCTGTAAGGAAGCTGATCCTGTAAGGGGCTGGGCACCTCTCTAGGAAGCTGCAAAAACAGAATGTTACTTTGGATGTTTTTGATGCCCGAAGCACGCTAACTCCTACAAGTTCCTGGGTAGAAAGGCAACTAGAGGTTTGTTGGAGGTTGCAAACTTGATCCAGCCGGATCTCCCCTCGCTCGCTACAGCCTTGCAAAATCCAGGTGGCTTGATCTCCCCAAGATGGCTGGGTGGGAAGGATGATAGAGAACTGCATGGATCCTAAGGGCAGAGAAGCGGGGTATGGAATGCCTCAGGGGGTGGGAGAAGCCTTAGGAGGCTCAGGGCAGGCAAGCCTGGCTCTGTGCTAGTTGTTGTGGTTCGCCGGCAGCCAGTGCAGCTGGCAGCGGAGGCGGACAGTGAGGAAGAAAGGGGACCAGGCAGGGAGTCTGGAGAGGACTTGAACGAGGGTCCTGCGTCCGATGTAGAGATGGAGCCAGGACCATCTGGGAGTGGGGTGCTGCCTTCAGAGTCTGGCAGAAGCGAAGCAGAGGACCCAGGGGAGCCTGTTCCCAGTGTGCATGTGCACAGAGCTGCTAGAAGGCGAGAGCAGCTGAAACAGAAGGGACGACTCGGGAATAAGGCTGGGAGGTGATGGCCCCTTCCATAAGGGATAAAAGTCAGACCTCAATGATGTAATCTTTGCAGGAAGCAAAGTAGTTCGATAGATTCCAAGTCCTCCTTGAAGCTCTGGGAACTCTGGTCGGTTTTTTATGGTACTTCGGGTTGGTTTCTGTTATCATTAATTTGGATACTTCTGTTTTTTGGCAGCCTTCTACAGCACTGAAAGACGTGCTCTTATCTTGGGAAACTGTTTATAATTAGTTCTGGCTGGGAATGCAAGTAATTCCCAGCCAGAACTAATTATAAACAGTTTCCCAAGATAAGAGCATGTCTTTCATGGCACTGCATACGTGCCATGCTGGAACTCTGCCTGACCACTACTTATTTTAAATGCAACGAAGGTTTCTAGAGATAAAAAGCATGGTTGTGCCATGGATTCACCTGTGTCTCCCATTGTGGCCAATCTCTACATGGAAGAGGCAGAAACCAAAACCCTAAACTCCTTCACAGGAATTCCACCCACTCACTAGTATAGGTATGTGGATAGTACTTGGGTCACAATCAAAACACAGGAATCGGAAGCACTCACCAAACATAAAAATTATGTGGACAGATATATCAAATTCACACGGGAAGCTGTTAAGGAAAATAGTCCACATTAAGGAAGACAGAAGTCTCAACATTGAAGTTTACAGAACCCCCCACAACACACACACAGATCAATATTTACATTTTGATTTCCACCATCAACTGGATCACAAAATGGGAGTCATCAGAACCCTACACGACTGAGCTGAAGGCCTGCCTAACAGCAAAGATGGGAAAGAAAATGAACATAAACACATCAAGGAAGCCCTCAGAACATGTGGCTATCCCACGTGGCCCTTCATCAAATCTCAAAAAAGACCCTACAGCAGGGGTCTTCAAACTTGACAGCTTTAAGGCTTGTGGTCTTCAACTCCCAGAATTCCTCCTCCAGTCATGTTAGCTCAGGAATTCTGGGAGTTGAAGTCCACAAGTCTTAAACATGCCAAGTTTGAAGACCCTTGCCCTAGAGAACCTCCTCCATAACAGACAACGAAGAGAACAATAAACGAAGCAATGTTGTCATTCCAGGTGTTGCAGAAATATCGGAAAAGCTCAGGAGGATCTTCAGCCAATACAATATATGTGCACACTTCAAAGTTCAAACCCAAGAATACATTAAGGCAGAAGCTTGTCGACCCCAAAGATAAAATACCCAGACATAAACTTCAACAACGTGGTATATGCAGTACAATGCAGTGAGCCGTGTGCAGATCTATACATTGGGGAAACAAAACAACCACTTCATAAACACATGGCACAACATAGGAGATCACAAACCCATCAGGATTAGATTCAGTAGTTCATCTATATTTAAAAGACCAAAGCCACACTTCTGAAGATAGCAAAGTCCACATTTTGGATAGGAAGGTCCGCTAGTTTGAAAGAGGGGTCCAAGAGGCGATCTATGTCAAAATTGAACAACCCTCTCAAACAGAGGGGAAGGGATATGACATCATCTATCTCCAGGCTACCATACAGTCCTTTCAACAGTTCCAAGAAGGCTCCACACCCATTTTGTACTGTTCAGGTGACCCTGACAGCACAGATAAACCTCCAGGTGGCCTTAACAACTTGCTAAAAGAATGCAAATGACCAGCTGTCTGCAAGGAGTATAAATCCCTCCATTCCCCACCATCCACTCAGAGCCGAAGAAGCTTCTTAGATGAGAAGTGAAACATCTTCAAAGAAAAACCAGAAAGTCCAGTTGCCTCTTGAAAAAAGCACCTTTGAGACAACCATGACCTGGATGACTGAGAATCTCCATAACAAATGCAATGAAATGAGAGTACTGCTTTATAGAACTTTGATAAGACCACACTTAGAATACTGCAGCTAGTTTTGGTCACTGCATTACCAAAAGGATAAGTTTTGGTCATTACATTACAAAAGAATGTTGAGACTCTAGAAAGAGTACAAAGAGAAACAAAGATGATTAAGGGACTGGAGGCTAAAATATGATGAACAGTTGCAAGAACTGGGCATGTCTAGTCTAATGAAGAGAAAGACTAGGGGTGACATGACAGCAGTGTTCCAATATTTGAGAATACGGGGTTAATCATTCTCCAAAGTACCTGAAGGAAGGGTGAGAATTAATGGATATAGAGTAATACAAGGAGAGATCTAACCTAGAAATAAGGAGTGGTTTCCTGACAGTGAGAACAATTAATCAGTGGACAAACCTGCCTCCAAAAGTTGTGGCTGCTTCATCACTGGAGGTTTCTAAGAGATTGGACAACCATTTGTCTGAAATGATATAGGGTTTCCTGCCTGAGCAGTGGTTTGGATTAGAAGATTTCCAAGGTCCCTTCCAACCCCATTGTTTTGTTAATGGGCAAGGTAGATATGGGGCCATGCCTGGAAATTGTGACCCAAAGGATTAAACTTATTGTTGGCTTTCATGTTGCACATGATGAAAGATTAGAATGGTATAACAAACTCTCTTTTAGATAGAGCCATTTATCTAAGAAATCAAGCCTATCCAGGACAATTTCCAAAATCTATGTTTGGGTTGATGGGAGAATTTGATACTGGTAGATTCTTGAAGACACAAAACTGGCTCCGAAAGCAAATATACACTTTTCCAGAAAAGCATAAATCATTTTCAAGAATCAATATGATATGGCTTTCAAAGAACTTAGCTAATAAGATAGCCAAAGCTAATATCAAAGAGATTGGTAAGTTTTGATAATAGAAATGTGCCCTGTTGAAGTTTAATAAACATACATTTTTCAGTTTTTATGTATTTTTCTATCTTTAAAATAGACAATGTTTTACTGTAAAATTTTTATTATAGAAGAATGCAGTAATAGTTATGTGTATTTTTGAATTGATAATATAATGCATTCATGGGCTAGCCACTGTATGTTTTATTCGGATTGAGGTTATTTTGCTATATATACTATATATACTGTATTATTTGGTATGTACAGCTTTATATTTTTCATTTTGTATTATTTTATTGTGTTATCTAAAGCAAAAGTGTATTTATATCTTAAAAATATTTAGAAGGAACCACTTTTTTAATGTTACTTTTGTCTTTTTTCATTATTTATATCTGTTTTAAACTTTCCTTGTTCTTCCCCTTGTTTTTTTAAATGTAAGATGATTACATTTAATTACATTCATGATTAACTTCCACCTTTATTTATCATTCATTTGACATATAAATGGCTAGCAAAATCCAAGGAAAATCACACATTCTTAGCATTGAAATCATTATCAAATATATGTGGAAATGCCAAGGATAGTTTATACAGATACATGAACACAAATACAAACCTACACACCTATAAAGGTACATGCATTACGATCCATGTGTATTTCAGCCTCACAAATGTCCCAGAAGTGGGTAAGTTCAATTTTTTTTGTCTCATTTTAGAGATTGGGGGGGGAG